TTATAATATGGTTGTTCAAATGAACAATGATGGCCAGTTTAATCTCATGTTTGTCTTATGTAAATTCTTGCTTTTATGACACATTATAATGGCTATTTAATGGCAATGTGCTGAGCCTCTTTAGTGCCCCACACACACACACACAGAACAGATCTTTAATGGAATCGATCTTTAGTCACTGTGACATTTTCAGACTGGCGCTCATAATGATCTGTCTCCCTGGGGTCTGTGCTAGTTTTTGTTAATCTTTGCTGATCAAATGCTGAATTACTCAGGTGAGAGATCCACGTCACATACTTGGAGCATTTAGTATAAACAAAAAGAGGTCAAATCATTGAAGTCAGACCCAGATATCCGAATCAAATAGCCTGCAGTCACAATTTGGCAAATAAGACATTCTTCAATCAAAGACCATTTAGATTCCCCAGGTGCTGATTTTCACCCAATTACATGCTGCTGTTTTCCAGATGAGACTCCTGTCACCTTATTAAAAGATTTCACAGGTCATTTTACAAGGGCATTTTAGGATAGCACTAGACATTGCTTCAAAAAATACAATTAAGAATACAGTAAAAGCAATACTATAATAATAAATACAAGAAAATAATTGTTTTTTTTTTAGGCTTGATTGTGTTTATGGGGTGCAGTCTAACATGTGTTAATGCCTCGTAAAAAAAAAAAAAACCGCATTATTTTTCACATAATTTACCTTTATTCTTCACCGGTCTGTCCCTTCTCCTATAAACACGCTGATCATTTCCTGCTTTTATGAAGCCCCTCCCTCAGAAATACGCGATGGGCTCAGATTGGTTAGCTGACCCAGTGTGTTGTGATTGGCTAAACCGCCCGCCCTCTAGTGCACGTCTAATGGTCCCGCCCCTCAGCTGCATGTGCTCTGGTTGTATTGTAAACAATGGACCCTTTTCACAAGACTGTATTGACGCGTTTAACGGTCACCAGCATCGTAAATCCTCGAAAGTTTTTCATATTTGGAATTTTTTTATTTTTTATTATTATGTACATTTATAACACTATTCTTTGTATTATATCACCTTTGCATCAAATTACAAAAAAACAGTTAATGCTAATGCGAGGGTGTTTCTAATGCATGGGATGGTAAATTTGACATCGTTCTCTCTTCTGACTGCTGTTATCAGTCTCTCTCCTGAAAACACTATCGTGGAGTTTTTCTTTTGCTATTTGAGCAAATGGGAATGCAAAAAAGATATTTGTGGTACTCTCCCATTCACTGCTCTTCAAGTTAACCCAGCTATGACGACTTCCGCTGCTGAGAAACCCGGAAATGTGAAAAAGGTCTATATTGCTTATCAATAGATTGGTGGAACTATGATGTCACTTTGTAGGCAAAAACACGGAAGCGAGTTAGCATTTTAGCACTTCCGGTTCTATCGTCCCAGAGTCGATGAATTGTTTGAATGAGAGTTTGATTAAATCCCCTAAAATAAGGTTTGTGGTTCACACAAGCTCAAGATACTTTCACGTTTTATTCTACGA